CTGATAGTGGATACTCAGGAAGTCGGGGATTCTGCCACCTGTGTTTGCCCACCGGTCACTGTATCAGCCAGACTGACATTATCTGGTGTCAACAGAGCCCACACTGAGCCCTGGCTGGGGATTAGCAGGAGCATATCAGCCTGTGTGAGGATCTGTAGTCGACTTTCAGAGGCGGACCTAGCTCCAACCCCCCGAGTCACAGTTGCCCTTACTGAGTAGAGGTCCTTCAGTGTGCCCCAGCACCGGGCACTCACCAGCCCTCTTCAGAACCTTCACTGACAGATGGCCTGTATTGCTGAACTGACATCCTCAGGAACCACAATCAATAATTGTATTTGTATCTTCACTGATATCAACATCCACATCTGTACAGTATCCACACAAGCCTAGAAAATGTCCAGGTAGCCAATCCCACTCTGAGATAGAAGAGCACACTGAAAACATTCTTCTTTACCTGTTTGCAAAGTCATTTCCTTCTGTGACACCTTCAGTCAAAGCCATCCCGTGCGGCACCCTTCACTGGCAGCTCACATTACTTCTTTTCCCAGTGGCCCACGGAGCCATGCTGCAGCTGAAGGATGATGGGCAGTGAGTGCACTCAGTCCAGCACATTCACACATGTGCAAGACTGTGACAGGCCCCAAGCCAGAATTCAGAGTTCCGAATCCCAAAGAAAGAGGGTTGGGCGTGCAGCTAAAACATCTTAGATGAGTCCCAATGCTGTGTGGGACAGAGATCATGCCAAAGAAGTTGGGCCCTGCCCTTAGCTGGTGTCCAGACCGGCTTTGACAGGAGGATGGAGGAGAAGAGGATTCTGACGGGCATCCTCGTGAGAGAGAAAAAGGAGGGGTCCCTTTTTAAGCCAATTTGCTTCTTCCTTAAGCCCAGCTACGTGAAGTATGGTGTTTTTATTGCTGATGACAGGGTGGCAGCGGACCAGGACAGCAGCAGCACCATCCAGAGCCCGACATCAATGCCCCCACATCAGTGCCCCCACAGGACAATGTCAGCAGCCACCACCTCCAGACTAAGCCACAACACGAACCCCATTTAGTCCCGTATTGTCTTTTGATGCTGCAAGCTCCCAACTGCTCTGAGGAATCTGTGTGGCTACCACGCATTCCTTTTCAAATCTAAATGTTCCTAGCGGTGGTGCTGCTTCTGAGCTTAAAATATCGAGCTGGCATCAGGAGGACAGCTCCGCTCCTGAGCACTCACTAAGGGTTGTCTGAAGGGAAGTATGTTCACAGCCTGAAGAAAGGCCACTAAAGGCGGAGGGAGGTGGACACGCTCTTTTATGAACACTCTTCTTGCTACCCCGGTGAGGACAAAGCTTCCCTCAGCTACCCACAATGCAGTGCAAAGATGGAGAAAGACCTCAGGCTGTGCCAGGAGAAATACTGCACAGGGAGCAGGCAGAAGACCTGTCACGACTTGGCATGGTGGGAGGTGGAATGCCATTCTGATCCCCGGAGCCTTATGAGCCCACATCACAAAAGAGATGGGAAAAACCGCAGGGCCACCTCACCCAGACAGCCCTCCAAGGGGCATTGAAAGGGACAGTGGAAGGCATGAGGCATCAGGTCGCAGGGTTGCAGGAAGACAGGACATAGCTCCAAAGAGGAGTCATGGATCCACAGGAGGTACACTTGAGGTGGAGCCCCACCTCATCACCTCCTGCACCCCTATCATGGGAGAGATAAGCAGTGGGCAGGGGTTTGCCTGGGCCCTGAAACAGAAGATGATGTATGAATGAATAAATGACTGACTCTGAGTGAGTGATCGCTTGACTTACCCGACGGGTCTGTTCGAACACAATCTTCCAATGACTGAAGTGTCAATTCAGTTAACTGACCAATCCATCAATTCACTGCCTCCCACGGTGACACCCCACAACAGGAAAGAAACAGAGGGCCACGAGGCCATGAGTAAAAAAAATCACATTTAGGCCTGAGAAGACGGCTGAGTCAGTCACGTCATGACTGAGTCACTTATGTCACAAGCATGGGGTGGGAGTTTTGGTGAAAAGGAAGCCAGGACACATCTGTAGCTCCAACTCCACAGCTGGGAGACAGCAGTCTTCTGGGGCTTGTGAGCTGACTAAACCGGCTTACATGGTGAAGTCCGGGCCAGTGAGAGACCTTGTTTCAAAGAAGAGGTGGAAGGTGCCTGAGGGCCAACACCAAGACTGTCTTCTGACCTCAACATGTGTGCCATACATGTGAGCACCCGTACCTCCTTCCCCCCCTCTCTCTCTACACACACACACACACACACACC